AGAATTAACCAATCACATTTAAACAATTTAGTCACATGATCAATGCGATTGGTCAATTCTTTCTTCATCCGAGATCTCGGACGGATTTCTAGCATCGTGGACACTGGGCTTAATGCCCGTTTCTACCAATGTAGATTAACTTTAATCTCGGTTCAACTTACTCTTCATCTTTTCTTATTCTTAAAACTAGAAAAAGATGAATTAATTGAACCGAGAGTTCAAGTTAAACTGCATTAGAAACAGACATAAGGCCAGTATTCATAGTCAGTTCTTATATTCAAGACCGTCTTAAGTTCAATCTTGAGATGTCATGAACCAATCAGAAAGTTGCATTAGCATCTTAAGACGATCTTGAAATAAGAACAAACTATGAATACCAGCCTAAGGCCGGTATTCATAGTCAGTTCTTATTTCGATCAGTTCTCATTTTTTAAGTAATGTCTTAAGATGCTAATGCGGCCCTCTGATTGGTTCGCGACATCTTAAGATTATACTTAAGACGGTCTTGAATATAAGAATCGTCGATGAATACCGGCCTAAGACAGCTGGATACAGACGGCCAATAACATCTTATGGAAATCAATATGGCGTCTTTTTGTCGATGATCATTGGTTCAGACTATGCTTATGCAGCTTATTTTGTGTGTGGTGGCCCTTAATTTGAAATGTATTACATAAAAATAAATTTATCTTTTTCATTAAAATCCATTCACACACTATTTAAGTTTCAATATTTTAAATATATTATATAACTTATTATTTTAAATTTGCTACATTAGGGGTCATCACACACAAAATGACATCTTATGTAATTATTGGTGAATTCGATCACTCGCACTACACTGGATCAGTGCATATTAAAAGCTGCTTTACATAAAATATCTCAATGCAATGATACAATATAATCAACTTTGACAATGAAATGATACATATATATTTTAAATAACGTGACTGTATCATTAGTAGATAGTTAATCGATTAAAATATTTATATACTTTTGCATTTAACTTTGTTAATTTCATGTAAAGCAGCTTTTAGTATGCACTGATCTAGTGTAGTGCAAGTGACCGAATTCGCTATTTGTGTGTGATGGCCCTAAAAATCATTAAATTGATGTTTAATTGAATATTGAAAATAGAAAAAAAAAAGATATTTTTTAAGGCAAACCTGATTCGTTCGTTGATTCATTTTAATGCATTATGAACGTTTATTCTGACAAGAATTAAAAGTGAGTGTATAATTAAAATCGAATTAAATATAATGTATTAATTATATCACTCAGTCAATTGATTTCGTTATCGCAACGCTAGAATTTCCCTGGCTGCGATTTTGCAAATTGTGTTAAAATCTGCAGCAATATGAATTCTCCAAAAACGACATCTACTCCAAATCAATGCAGGATAATTCGGGCTTTGTATTCCATGAAAGATACGGGCTATGGCACGACCCGTGAACTTAGTATCCCTATAACATATTATCAAATTGCGGATATCGGCTGCGATTTGCTGCTCGTTCGTCATTTTATTCTACAAAAAGTAAAAAAATGGTAAAACAATGTATCTCCAATTTTAATTATTTTTATACCATAGATTCTAAATAAATTTTACGAGTCAAGGACGTACCTGAAAATTGATATTGAGATCATTTAAAGGAGAATCTGATAGGAAGTATTCTCTGATAGTATCTTTAAGCTCCTCCGATTTCTTCATAACGTTATCATCTAACACCAAGCAATGTTTGATTGACGACACGCTGATTTTATTAAACGCGGAGGATGTGAGCTCGAGTTGTTGCAAACACAAGGATTCCTGAGATTGCGTACGTGTGACCAATGCATCGAGTGCCTCGTCCAGTTCAATGTCGCTAAGATCGCCCGGTGCTTTCATTCGTAAACCGAGTTTATGATATTCTACAGATATAGCTGAACGTTTCTTCTTGCCATCAACTGCGAAACACATTCAGATAACACTCATGGTCATGTAAATGAAATACGTTTCAGAAAAGTCAGAAATTCTCAGAAGTCTGAAGTAAAGAATGTAGAATTCTTACCTCCTGTCTTCCATTCTAAAGTCTTAAGATGACTCTTTACTATCCCACTATCCCATCCGATAGCTGATGCAACGTCAATTACTGAGAATTCTATAATATTTTTATGTGAAATCCCGTTTTTCATGTGCAGCGCTATTGCCATTGCGAGCGGTGGAGACTAAAATCAAAAGTTTGTAATATTTTTTTTCATATTATTCTTTTTTATGACATAATAAAATCTTTTTGCTGGTTTTTGTATTATACCGCTGCTCTTAGAAAAATGCTATAAAAATTAAAAAAAAAATATTAGTATTGTTACATTATTATTGTGAAGGTCTTACGGATTGCGCGGCTTGTTTGAGGGCATGTGGTCCTTTGTAACTTGAAACCCGCGCTTGAACGTACACGGACGGTAGCACAGTAATGAATCTTTTTGGGTGTAGTTCGAGATAGCACAATAATGTCAAAATCATTTCCTGTGTGATGTCAAGGACTCGAACAGTTTCATCAATTGGAAGAGCGACTTCGTGACCGGGACATCTTTGATCTGAATTTTTTTCATTGATCTTTACACAAGAACAAGGAATGAAAATTCTCTGAAGTAGATGTCTAATTGTATGTCTATCTACACCATTCGCGTGTACGTGTCTGCGCAATTCCCATTTATCACTGTCTTCCTATTTAGGAATAATTGATTTAATTAGAAAAGAGATCCCCAAGATAAATGAGAAAAAGTTTTTCGTAGAGAAATTTCAAATTTTTAATCATATATGATACCATAGGATTTAAGAACAAATGACAATGTGCTATAATATTATCCCTTCCAGCACGACCAACTTCTTGTACATATCCCTCAAAGGTGCCGGGCATATTGTAATGAATAATGGCCCGGATGTCCGGTTTATTGATGCCCATCCCGAATGCAACAGTAGCAACCACAATTTTAATCTTCCCGTCCATAAATTTTTTTTGGACAATTTTACGTTTATCAGGTGTTATACCGGCGTGATAAGCTTCAGCTATTGTGGATATCTTCACGTTTGGCTTCTCAGGATTTCGCGGATCCTATCGATGGATGTATACATTTAATATAAATTTGTCTTATTTAAAAGACTTTGTACTTCAATTTCTTTTATGTGATGAAAAAAGCTAATTTATCTTATGTAAAAAGACTTGTATTTCCTATTGTTTCATTTATAGAAAACTAAAAATTTTAATATTTACCTGCAGCGATATTCTTAACAATCCCGTGATCCTCACACACTCCTCTCTACGGATGCAGTATACTATCACAGAGTGGCATTCGCGGATCCTCTCGCTTCTTAACAACGCGATTAAAGCCTGATCCTTGTTTTCGTCCTTGGATACCGTTAGGACGAGATTCCTAGGCAAAGGCACGTCCGATATGACACCAGCTATTCCGTCGTGTATGTCTAGATGTTTTATTATACTTTCCACTGTCGTTTTCGTAGCAGTCGCCGTGAGTCCTAATACTGTTTTTACTTTAAACTTTTCCTTGAGTACTCGGCAAACCATCAAGTAGGAAGGTCTGAAATTGTGCGACCACTGGGAGATACAATGGGCTTCATCAATGCAGGCAAATGCAATTGGCGGTAGCTGCCTGAGCAGAGCACCGAAACCAGTAGATTTCTCACTGCTTACTACCGCTTCTGGTGATATCAGCAGAATATTCACCTTTCCATCCTTCACAGATTGTATCACCTGCTCTCTTATTTTCGCCGTTTGGTTGGTATGTAAACACGCAGCAGACAGAAATAACGGTACGCCCGTCACTTGGTCGTCCATCAGGGATACCAAAGGTGAAATTACCAAAGTGATGCAAACAGAACGTCGAGCATATAAATACGCTGGTAATTGATAACATAGAGATTTCCCAGAGCCTGTCGATAGCGTTACCAGGGTAGATTGGCCAGATAGAATTCTCATTACTGCCTTTTCTTGGCCAACTCTGAAATTTTCATGACCAAACATGCGTAATGCCTCGAAGACTTCCGTGGGAGTTTCAATGAGACTATTATCTTCGTTCACATCATATAACGAATTAATTTCTTTCATTTGAGGCGGCAATAATTTGGATATTAATTCCTGTGGCACTTTATGCCCGAAAGTTAATGTATCACTCTTCTCACCAAAGTCTGCAAAGTCGTCATTAAATAATTCCGTTATATCTTCTTCATCTTGCCAAGTCTTCGTAGCCAAATACGATGGTTGTTTGGGAAGTCGCTTATGATTGTGAGCGATAATGGCAGCCTCATTTGCCATCTTTTCAGCTTCTTCCAAAGTTGGAAAGTTCGATGAGTCATCGATTTCTTCTAAAGGTAAAAGAGCGTTGTTCTTGGAAGCTGAGCAGTTTTTAACGAAGTGCCCAGACTCACCACATTTGAAGCATGTCATGCTATTTTTGTCGATCAAGTCGGCCGCGTCCAAATTGCTCTCACTAGACGTCAAATCTTTCTTTCTCTGTTTCCATTGATTCCTCTTATATTTAACAAAATTAAAGTTCTTTTTACTTCGCACAAATACTTTTTTCTTCAGATTTATCCTCACAAAATTATCATTCATCGTCCCGGCAGCCATTTTTTTCTCTAGCTTTTCCTTCGCAGTCAATTTTGTGCTCGCTGTTGAAGATATCAAGACATCTTTTTTCATTGCATCGGTGGAAACAGTTTCGGAAAACTGCATGATGAGATTGCCAATTCCACTTGGTTTGATGTTAGAGCGAGGAATCGTTTGTAACATTTCTACATTATATGTCGGAATCTTTTTCATTTCTAAATCTAAACTTTGTTCTTTGTTATCCTTCTCTAAACTTGATTCTCTTTTGGAAAATTTCCTTTTTACATCGAATTTTTTTTTATTATCGGTCGTCTTCTCTTTATTTCGTTGACTTTTAGATTTCTTATTCGTTTTTGTCCTTGTCTTAGGTTCTTTATTATTTTGTTCTATATAACTGGGGTCGAAATTGTTAGATACTTGTTTGACTCTTCCACGTTTCACAGGTTTTTCATCGGATGTTGAAAAGTCTTTCTGATTCTTAAGATTGGTTGATTTTGGAATAACATCAATCATTCTGAATACTTTTTTAGTTTGATCGCTTTCGGTCGGACAGATATTTTCAGATATCATTTTGTCCTTAATGATAACATTCGATTCAATGTTTGAACCTAAAGTAATTGTATCTTTTTTAATTCTAATTGATTCATTTATTATATTTGTGCTTGTACTAACATTATTAGTCAATTCAAATGCATTAGCATTGTTAATTTTATTTTTACTATGCTCATCTCTACACAATAAATTAAAACTTCTATCGACATAGGAAGTCAGCTTGGACCTATCACTATCGGTTATATGAAATCCAGCGATCGTAGAATCAGAATCAATATGAATACATCGTCGTTTTATGGGATGACCATCTTGATCACTCAATCGTTTCTTGAAGTTTCTAATGCGTTTATTCCCGTGTTCTTCCTCAGATTCACTATTACATATAAAATCTTCTTCATCGGAGACTTGAAACGACGAAAAATGCACAGTAGGCGCCAAGTCATTCGGAGAATAAATGCTGGATTCCATGGACTCTATTCCAGAATCGCTAGTACCCGACAGCCTTTGAGGGTTGATCGTTGTCACTTCCAAATTATTGTCTCTCGTGCATCGATGCAGCCAGCCTGAATTTAAATTACGGTTTATGCCAGTCGTATAGCTGTCGGCCAATTGTTGAACAACATTAACGGAGTGTTGTAAAACAGGCTTGCTTTTCTCAAATGTTACTTTCATCAATTCGCCGAATATAGGCTTTGCCTCATCAACAGTTGTATCCTTATCTGTATCCAGCCGGTCGACGCTCGAGATATTTAGGATATTCTCAGATCTGTTCCTTATTTTTACCAATGACAGCGATTTTCTCGGGTTTCGTTTAGTAAATGTTGAACTCTCAAACTTATTTCTAGACAATTGAAAGGAAGAAGATCTACCATTCAACAGAGATTGCTTCTTCTTTGACACCTGTTCTTTGTTTTTGCTAAGATGGTTGCCCCAGGCTCCTTCAACGTTCACTGAATCCAGTTGATTGAATGAGTCCTCAATTTCCGTCAAACGTTTGCTATTGTAAGGATTTATGTTCTCTGAGTTTTTTGTAACTTTTTCTGGACTCAGATTCTTGTCTTGCTTCTGATTGTCTACTATCTTTCGCGGTGATTTATTTGAGATATTGTCTTGCATATCGTCGCAGAAAGTAATGTCTGTAAGAGTTTCCTCGAGCGCTCGTGTTTTTAACTTCCAATACATCTTATATGCTTCCTTAATAGATAAATCTGCTTCTTTTATATCATTCTATTTACAAAAAAGAATTTACAAAAAGTAAGCATAATTGTAATGCAACGACCAACATAATTGTAATTCAATAACGTGTACAGAGTGCCTCATTAAAGGTGTGTGTGTGTGTGTGTGTGTGTGTGTGTGTGTGTGTGCGTGTGCGTGTGTGTGTGTGTGTGTACGAGCGCATGTGTTTGTTACAGACTATTATTACTAAAACTGAAGTATAAAAAGTGAAGTATAAAATTTTTATTTTCTATCATCCATTTGGTATCGAAAATAATATTATATTATGACGTTGGTTTTTTCTAGGTGGAGTAACTTTGAAAATCTCTTTCGGAAGTTACTTTTGTTTTTTTAATTAAAATTGTACAATACTTAATTGTAACTATTTATATACATATGATTTCTCTAATTATCAAGAAATCAATAGTTTATGAGATAATACTTTTGAGACTTTCATGGAAATTTTCTATACAGAAGCTATATGTTATTTTCGTGTCTAATTATCTCATAATTTTTTATAAAATTAATAGTTTATGAGATAATCGTACTTTAAAACTTTTAGGCACAAAATAATAAGATGACTCAATTGGTGCAAAGAAAATACACACTAGTAATGGCTTAAAAAAAAAGTGTAGTTGCATATTGCAAAATTTTTGTAGATTTTTTAAATAAACTACTGCGTTTTCTTTACATCAATAAATTTACCTCATTATTCTATGCATAAAAGTATGAAGGCATTGATTATCAAAAAATTAAAAAGTTTAGGAGATATGTATGTCATGTCAAAATATAACAGAATAAAATGTATATCTTATTAACTATTGATCTTTGATAATTTTACTTTAATGCTGATTCTACAATGAGTCGGTAGTCAATAGTCCTAAGGCTTATCGGTGAAATTGACAATAGCCAACTGTACGACTAACGTTGATTGGCCAACTTCACCGATTAAGACTAAGACTTCCGACTTCCGACAGACTCATTGGCCTAGTTTACACCGAGCACTTGATACGCGTATTAAGTATCATATCCGCACCAAATCACTTGATACGCTTGGTATAAACGCTGGCAGATTATTTTGGTCTGATACTTCTGAATCACGAGTGTCGGATCAAGCTGGTACGCGTATCAATTGGTATCAAAGAATCTCAGCGTGCTGTAAACGCTTGGTTCATTTTGGATCGTGTATTAAAATTCGCCACTGCTTTTAAGTTCAGGTTAAAGTTAGAATTAGAAGTTTTACATCTTGAGAAGCAGTGAAGACATCATGTCGCCTAATCTGACCCGTTCTGAGGCAGATCGGTGTAAATAAGGACGTATCAAATATTTAATCCGCATCAATTTGATACGCGTACTAATTTAACGGTATAAAAGGGGTCATTATAGAATCAGCATAATACTTTAATATGTATAACTAGAGGAATTATGTAATGTATAAAAAAATTATACAATTTCAAAAAAACAAAGATGACCTTCAAATCTTTGAAGTTACTCCAGCTAGGAAAAACTGACATCATCATATGATATCTTCGATGCCAAATAGATAATAGAAAACAAAAATGTTACGAGTGGTTTAATTGCGTTTAGTTCGGAAATATTTAAGCGCGCAGTTTGTTAGACTACAAGTGTGGTATATATGTCAAGTACTTATATATCATATTTAGTGATTCAAGATTGAATTATTTAAGCATTTAAAATCTAGCTTCGACCGATATAGGGCTCTAATTTATTGATTGTGTTTCTCACATATACGGTCTAAAAATGAGATTATTAAAAATGTTATACCTTCGCTTAGTTTTGAAAATTGACTGCGTTCCATTAATTTACTGCAAATACTGAAGCTCTACAGTTCATATTACACATACTTATAGATTTTCAGTATTCGCAGTAAATAACAGAATGCAGTTATTAGTAAATTCGGTCATTTGCATTATACTAGATTAGCACTTACTAAAAGCTGTTATACATGACATTAGCAAAATTAAACGTAAAGCATATGAAAATTTTAAAAGATTAAATGCCTAATAATGATATTGTCACATTATTTAAAAGAATATGTATGTATTATTTCATTGTCAAAGTTGATTATATTATGCTACTATATTTAAAAACTTTATATAAAACTTTTAGTATGTATTGTACTGATCTAATCTAGAACGATCATGAATTCTCTGTATGGATTTATTCATGTCACATGCTCAAATATGCTCCTACCATAATTCCTAATCACTTCAACATGCTCGATGAAGTCAATAGAAGCTATGATAGGAATATATTGGAGCATATTGGAACATGTCACGCAAACGAACCTTATAAAATAGCCTGTAACACTTTTAGGCAGTGAACAGAAACTTCACCTGGATACACTTAGGTATCATTTTATTTTTCTTTTTGGTTATTTATCAAATAAACATTTGATAAATAACCAGGATAAAATGATATTAGATGAAGTTTCCAGACACAGCCCTAATAAAACACTTTGTATATATATGATATGCATGATAATAGACATTAATAATTTTCATTGATAATGTAATAAACATATGTAAAGATATTTGAGACATAATAGTCTCAATTGTTTTATATATAATGTTCTCGATATGAAGATACAATTACATAATTCTGAGCTTGATTTAGTAACTACTAATACATAGCTCATGTGAATGTAACACAAATATCAGATAACTGCATTTAATACCGATCATGATACAAATATAAGCTAGGATAAGAAAGGAAATATACCTTATTAGGTTTGCGTCCGAATTTTTCCATAAAATCGCTCTCCCACCGTTTCACACAAAGCTTATTTTTCAAATATTTAGTTTTAAAAATGGGATCCTCGAAGAGGTCCATGTTATCGAAAAAACAAAAAATATGAACGAATGCTTATCACCCTCGAAGATTGAACACATGTATTGAAGGTTAGGATACGTACTCTAGAATAAGCTATTTGCTCTATTTCTCCCGCGTAAAGCTGGAAACACAATAGACACAGGCACTAGGCGCAGGCAATAGGGAATAACGAGTCGTCCAATCAGAGCTCTGGGGTGTAAGTTCAATATTATATCCCAGAACTCTGATTGGATGACTCGTTATTCCCTGTTGCCAGTGCCTATTGCCTATGCCTATTGTTTCCAGCTTAAAGAACTCTGATTGGTTGAATTTCTTATGCCTAAAGCCCGTATCAGACTACCGACTCTGCAGGTCGACCCGACTACCAACTCTGACTGCCGATCAATAATGGACTAATCACAATAAGACTGATTCAATGTGATTGGTCCATTATTGGTCAACAGCCAGAGTTTGGCAGTCGGGTCGGCTTGCAGAGTCGGTAGTCCGATACGGGCTTTAAGCTGGTTCTACATTAGTCGCATCACAACGTCGCAAGCGTTACGTTACGGTCGAATCAATGGCTGCGTTCAGCAGACTCAACAGTTTTGCAACCGTTTTATGATTGTCTGCTGAGATAGGACCATTCTTCTAGATCTAAAAGTATGATCCAATTAGCGCGAAGGAAACTTCCAACAGTTGCAAAACAAACGTTCTGCTGAACGCAGCCAGTGGGCTCATTCAACGGACTCAACAGTTGAGTGAGCGCTCGCTGTTATTGGTGTATTCTTTTAGATCATCCAATCATAATTTTAGATTTAGAAGAATACGTCAATAGCAGTGAACGCTCACTCAACTGTTGAGTCCGCTGAATGCAGCCATTAGCTGCGTTCAGCAGACTCAACAGTTTTGCAACCGTTTTATGATTGTCTGCTGAGATAGGACCATTCTTCTAGATCTAAAAGTATGATCCAATCAGCGCGAAGGAAACTTCCAACAGTTGCAAAACGAACGTTCTGCTGAACGCAGCCAATATCAAGTTAGCTCGACTCTGATTGGATCATAAGGGAGCGTTTATGGCTGCAGTCTACTTGACGCTACAAACGCTTCGAAGCATTTGAACAGCCTAGAGATCCTAAAAGTAGAGATCGGTCAACGCCGACTCGATCCGTGATTGGCTCTGCCATGACGGTATGAAACCGGATGTGAGAGAAGCGAATATAAGTTTGTTCGCGTCGCATGCTCCAACATGTTCCAAAATGCTCCTACCATAGCTCTTATACGCCGTCTACAATGAACAGTAGCAGTAAACACCGTAACCATGTCGGGAGTATAAGCTGGTTTTCCAGCTAAGCCAGTAATGATTAGTCGATGAATGTCAAATCGATGTTGATTCAACGTCGCTCGACGTCAAATCGATGTTAATTCAACGTCGATTGACGTTAATTCTATATTGATCGATCATTCACTTGTAGCTAGGGATGTAAGGCTGGAATCAGACTACGCATTGAAGATTGAGATTGAAGATTGAAAAATTCAAATTTGACCAATCGAAACGAAAGGAGCTAAAATTTCTTTGTCCTTATTGGTCAAATTTCAATCTTCAACCTCAATCTTCAATGCGTAGTCTGATTCCAGCCTATGTCTGTAATGCCCGTGTCATACTACGCATTGAAGATTGAGGGTCGTGAATTAAGGATTAGAATTCGATCAATCAAGTAATTTTAAGTTTAATCCGTTTCGTTCTAATTGGCTGAATTCTAATCCTCAATTCGCAATCCTCAATTTCCAATGCGTAGTGTGAAACGGGCATAAGCGAAATGGTTGAAATCCTGAAAGAATTTTACTAATTGACCAATCAAGAATGCTTCGAAGCATTTGTAGCATCAAGTGGACCGTAGCTTTAAACAGGCTGTTTCAGCGACAAAAAGGACACATGGTCAAAATTGACGAATATCAAGCGTCCATTTTGATCACGTGATCCTTTTTGTCGCTGAAACAGCCGGTTTGAGCAGCTCATGAAAATTTACCTTTAAAATGGGCCTTGAGTAAAGCCTTGTGTCCACGATGCTAGAAATTGGTCCGAGATCTCGGAGAGAAAGAATTAACCAATCACATTTAAACAATTTAGTCACATGATCAATGCGATTGGTCAATTCTTTCTTCATCCGAGATCTCTGACGGATTTCTAGCATCGTGGACACTGGGCTTAACACATAGCAGTCCCGCGGTTTTGGACGACCCGTCCGTTCGTTCCGACGCGCGTCCTTGCGGCGTGATGACGTCGTAGACGCAGGCGCCCGGTATCCACGCGGGCTTCGCCATTTCCGCGGGTATTGCATCACTTATGAGGTTTGTCCGCGTCGGAAGATCAACATGCTCCAACATGCTCTGCCATAGCTCCAACATGCTCTGCTATAGCTCCTACTCACTTCAAGGCGTTTGCTAGAGTGAGTAGAAGCTATGGTAGGAGCATGTTGAAGCATGTTGGATCTTGCGACGCGAACAAACCTGTAAATTAAAGAAGAGAGAGACGCTTGTGAGCACATCATGTGTGAAATTGTACCTTCATCTTTAATCAGAGTTAGTGAAAGAGATTCTACACTGTGATACTGTTCTAGAATGGAAAATAAGAATGAGGAATCATGTGAGACAGTGACACTGATTCTTAAAGCGGAACGATTCGAAGTTGAGAAACAAAAATTGACCAGCAAGAGTCTGTATTTTACTGCGCTTCTGTCCGCAAACTATTCAGAATGTAATCAGACGGAACATATTATCAATTATGATATTTCCCAGATTTCGTTACAGGTTAGTTGATTACAACAAAAGCAATTGTTATTCATGTTTAAAGCTGATTCTACAATGAGTCGGTAGTTGATAGTCCTAAGTCTTACCGGTGAAGTTAGCCAATAGCCAACTTGTACGACTAAGACTACCGATTTTCTTAAGTCAGACCAAATTCGACTTTATTCCTTCCCATTATTCGAATTAAACGATTCGCTGTATAACTAACAACTAGTAGATGCGAAAAATCATAATCACCTATTTAGGTTAAAACTGGTTAAGATTTCTGACTACCGATTCATTGTAGAATCAGCTTAAGAATAAGATAAATGGTGATTATTTAATTAGCTTCCCCACCCCACCTTAATCTTAATATAAATATACTCATTTAACGCATTTTCAGTCAAAACACAGTTGGCCTTGTGAATCGAATTATTAAACGTTAAAAGTTCGAGACTTAAGAGGTTAAGATGTCTGTCGTCCAGACTCGATACAGTGCTATGTATACGTTCTGCATTAATTACACAAATTCTCTGCTTTAAAAATAAAAATTCACTGTTTTAAAAACACAAATTCACTGCTAGAATTCACATGCAAAGAATTTGTGTGCTTAAAGCAGTGCATTTGTGTTTTTAAAGTAGTGAATTTGTGTAATTATAAAGCAGAACATAGTATGCATGGAATCGGTAATGAGTATATTTTTATTAAGATTTTAGATGGGGGGGGAGGTATTCTAAATAATTATCAGGTATTTACTTTAACCCTCGCCCCCTCTTCAATATTGATGAAATTAGAGTAATCGTTTAGTTTACATAAATAAAAATTGATAAAATCCACACCAATCGACGCGTTTTTTTCGTAAAATAAACGAATGACAGAAAAAAAGAAATTTAACATACATGTAATTACAATACTTACAGATGACATTTTTCACCTTTTCAATGCTGCTTTTAGTTGAATTGTTTCAATATTATTTTTAATCGCTAGTGATCACTGGCCTAGTTTCCACCGAAGATTCGAACCGGGTCAGAATGCAAGAATCGACCAACTACAGTCGAGCATTCCTTTGTTACAATCGAATGACAGGGGAATGTTCGACTGTAGTTGGTTGGTTCTTGCATTCTGACCCGGTTCAAACCCTCGGTGGAAACTAGACCACTGGTGATTGACAGTACGAAAAATTTCCGTTTCCGAAAAATATACCCCATGGGAAACTAGGCTAGTTAAAATCGGAACGGAACGATGCTGATTGGTTACCCCTACCACTTCACCTTTCCGATTCCGTGTTCCGATTCCGTTTTCCGTGCCCATGGAACAGCACCCTCAAACGTACTATATATGACTATTTTTTCTGCCAGATTCATTTATTTTACGAAGAAACGCGTCGATGTTTTTTTTACCGATTTTTGTTTATATATGCTAAATAATCGCCGAAATTACATCATATTTTATAATATAAATCATTTTATCGTATGCACTGAAATAAAAAATTTTGTAGGATTTTATTAATTGGATTCACAGTGACAAAATTGATACTTCTACGATATATTATGGTATTGAAGAATTTGATCGCCTCTTGGTCCTGTTGGAGTTAAGCGTTCTATTTGCAGTAGACAATTTAATAGAAGATGTAATTGATAGACTTGAAAGACATTATATGTCACCAAAATATGTAATTAATATCTGGTTAATATCACAAGACTTGAATATTAATGTGCTACGAGATCTTTCTTTAGCTGTTTGCTTAGATCGTTTCGATGAACTGCCAATTAGTTCAATTTATGAACTGTCAAGGGAAAATTTTCTGAAATTACTTGGGAACATTAATATAAGATCCACGGAATCTTATTTGTTTCATGTCACACATGAGTGGATGAACCATCATTGTGTAAGTATATTTTTAAAATAATTAAAAAAAAAAGGTAATTTTGTCATGATGTCATGCATTTTACATTGTTAACAGCACTAAGTTTCTTTTACTGTAAAATTTTTTATTTTTGAAATAAATTTTTTTAGTTTATACTTTTACTCTTTTAATTCTTTCTAATTAAATTTTATTGAGTTGGAAATTGGAATAGAAAAACATATATCACTTGGATTGGAATAGGATGACTTTTAAATAAGAATGAAGACATGTACCACTTAGATTTTATTTTTAAGAAATATAAGTTTGTATTGTTTGTAATAAATTTAGAATATAGTTTTTGCACTTTGATTTTATTTTTCAAAAGAAGTAATACGACAACAATGTTTGAAGAAAATGTATATTATATTTGTAATTGACACAATTTAGAGACTTCATATATTTTTCGGAAAAAATTATATATTTGAATTGAATAAAATAATGCAATTTTTTGGTATTATTATTTTTTAAATAAAAATAACAAGAACTTTTATGAATCTTTTAACGTTCAAATTTTTACTTGTATGTGTAATAATTCTTTAATAATAAATAATTCTCACGATTAAAATATACATGCTAATGTATGTACCTGGCGCTGGTGAGAGAAGAAAAATTACGAAGTAAATGTTTTGATAAATTGATAGCAAAGGTAAGAATAGGTACAGAAATCTGTAATTTTTTAATTTTTTCCTGCTTTGAACACAAAATACACCAGAATCAGATTAGACATTAGCATATGTATTTTAATCGTGGAAAAGGAATTTTAATTTGATGAAACTAATACGTAATAATTAGAAATGATATTTTTATCGATAAAAAGACGATTACCAGCATCACCTTTACACATAATTATATATATAATAAAAATTTTTCTCTTTTTGCAGGATTTCACAATTCCTATGGATATCTTAAGAAATAAAGAAATAAAAGTTTTACACAGTATTATATCTTGTGAAAGTAGTGATGTTATTAACAGTGAGCAATTTATTCATTGCTGGGATGGTAACGATTTCTTTGAACTTACCTCATTTAAATATCCCAAAGATATTACTGATCGTAGCATTGGTAAAAATATATTAACAGGAATGCAGATTATTGCAAGAGGTATACAATTTTTTTTATTTTGTCTTATCTATATGGAACAATATTGTTCTAATTATTCATTATTTTATGTGAGTTTTTAGGATATAATTTATATCTTTGTGGTGGGGAATTTGGTATTGGTTCAGGCAGGTTTAACAAAAATGTGTGGCGTTATTCTCTGATATCTAAAAAATGGTTTCTTGAGACAGTGTAAATATGTTAAAGAAAAGATTAAATATAAATGATAATCCTGGTGAAAATTTTTCTCATAATTTTTGTATGAATTGGAACATTTTTTAGAAATACTCAGAAATATTTGGAAAGTTTACATCTTCTCTCAGAATTTTTCATACAAGTGAATTCTGAAATATTCTGAAATTTCTCATCCCATAATTAAAAAAAAAATATTTTTTAATTTTTTAGATTTTATAACATTTCATCAGAAATTATACTTACAAAAACTTTTAGAAATATCTTACGATATTTCATAAGTAACATACATGAAAAATTCTGAGAAAAGATGTAGATTTTCTGAGAAGTGTGCCAATTCGTATAAAGAATGTGAGAAAGTTATAAAATTATATAGAAATTCTGAAAAATTATATGAAAAATTCTGATAAAAATTTTCACCAGGGAAAGATAATAGAACAAATAAAATAAATATATAATTTCTCTAAATATTTTAGTATGCCAATTGAAAGAAGACATATGGTTGCTGTTTTTTTGAAAAACAAATTAATGCTTGTGGGCGGTGTGGGACGATATCGACAAAAACTGCAAAGTATTGATATCTACGATGTTCATACAGGTGATTTTGATTATACAGCTACACAATGTGCATTTCATTAACATGGAAAGTATGTTACTTGAGTGTATATATAGAGGAATTAAGGTCGCTGGCATACCGCTTTGTTTTTAGATAATATTTTTTAAACAAAACTACAGATAAAAACTTTAGAAACATAAATACAACCCATTAAACGAGAATTAATATAATAAAATGGATTGAAATATGGATTCAATTTTCATTTTCAAAAATACGCATTCGAACGTTAAAATGAATCTTTTTCAATTCGAATGCATTTTTATTCATTTATACGAATTGTATCAAGTACATTTCTATACCTTTCAATCAAAAAATAATATTAGCTTTTCTGTGTCTCGTGAATACTTTTCAATTCAAAATTCTGAACAGGATTCAGATACACTCACAGATAAACGCGCGTGCGCGTGGTTTAGGTTTCCTTTATAAACTCTAGAACTAATTTTATGATGTATAAAGGAAACCTCTTTTTATTATAATTTTGTCGTGTATCCTCTGAAATATGATGCCAATCAATAATATTTATTTTCACAATAAAATTTCAATGTAATTTTAATGAAATTTTCTCTACCACTATTACACTCTTTATTACACTATTCGAATTTACTTATTGTACTAGTAGTATATTTTTATGCAGGATGTACAGATAATTATTATAATATCATATATTGTGAGATGCACGAAGGATAGGAGATGGAATCAATCAAAGGAAGTAAAACCAAAAGAATTCTTTAGAAAAAACAAATAGTTATATTTTAGATGCGAATTGCTCGCGGTCGCACATAAGTCTGACGCAATCACGACGCGGCGTGCCGATCGACCCTCTACCTTAAGTCTGCTCGACAACGGAAAACGATTACTCACGAAACGCCATCTTAGAACGATCGCTCGATTCAAAGGCGCCTCTTACAATATACAAAAACCGTAATTAATATTTCTAACTATACAATAAAAATAATAATCATAGTTTACAGGCAATCATATTATTAAAATAAAGTTGATTTTGATGAATATAATTCGTTAAAATTTTACTTAAAGCAGTTCACTTATAATTATATATATATATTTATACTCGTGCGCGTGCCTGCGTGTGTGCATGTATATCTGAATGGATATATTCATTACTTTTTTTAATATAAACAGAAAATTATTTTTAATTGCACACAACCGTTGAATTAATTTTGTTTCACACAAAATCCTATTTTCATGCACTGGAAATATAAATAATGTCATAATGTCGATTTTCAAATAGAGCACTAAAATGTCGCCAGACAAAATGGCTGACCTCTCCGCCGAGCGGATTTCGGTCCCCTCACCCATAAGGGCGTATATGTTCTAAGCTCTATTCTTGAAAAGAAACGTATAGGAAAAACTAGGGAAATATTATAATATATGTTACGTATACTATAGTACATCCCTAGTTTTTCATATACGTTTCTTTTAAAAAATAAGAGTCTAGGTTAGAGGCATGTTAAAGTTAGACAGAGATACAATATATTTCTTTTTCTGTTATAGATTTTATTGAAACTACCTTGCATACAAAAATCGGCTCAAATCGGCTCGTGTCGCGACTTTTATTAGAGGGTCTCTAGTCAGACATATGTCGGCGATTTTCCTATAGTAATTTCAAACAAAGATTATTATGTATAACTTTTCAGATTATATCGTAGAGTTGTTTCTCACAATTACATTTTTTAATTTAGCTTTAAAATTATTTTTTTATTGATGAAAGATATTATGTTATTATGATATTATTAATATTTACTCTTAAATTTGAATAATGTATGAAATGAATATGTAGACGTCGGATGCAAAGGTATTTTGAATTTTCTTAATGTTCTTAAACTTTTTTCTTTTAATGACGCAGGTTTGTGGACATCAGGTAAAAAAATGGACTCTTGGGAATTTACCACCGTTCCTGAACATTATGTTTTTGATGGAAAATTAATAATATATAAATATCAATATATAATTCATCAATATATAAATACTTTATCAAATGACATTTCAGATGATCACATTACTATGCCTCGTAAGTAAAATATTAGCAGAATGTTGGGAGACTGACAACAGATTTAAACCGCGTTCCGATACATTGTTATTATTGAAATATCTCCCTCGTTTCGCGCATGCACGAGAGAGAACGCACATGGATCACAATATGTGCGTCCTTTTCTACCTGAGTTTTATCCTCCACTTCTTGAATTTCAGAGAATGCTCAGTCTAATTATACTATGGGTGTGTTCCGAGTTATGCATTGAGCGCATGATGCATCATTTATCTTTATTGTTCATCAAAGAAGGATAAAACGATATATTATGCGCTTCATGCGTAACTCGGAACTTTAAATCTATGTATCAAACATATATCTTTTTCACTTTAAGTTCCAAAACTGTTCATTAGTTCAGCCACAGAAAACGAACCTAATGACTGCATGTTGCGCATACGCGTGTAGATTACCCGCATAGCGGTAAAAACTCATAGCATTAGATAGATACGTTCTCAATTGAGATTCGTGTTGCTCGCACGCATGCGAGCAATATGAGCCTTATCTGAATTACTTTAACATGTATATTTCATTTATTTGGAAAGCATCTAAAAAAGTATAATACTTTTATTTTAAAGCCTTTGAGGCTCACTTAAAAAAATATTTCATTAGAATACAATTAAAGAATCTTTTAATGTTACTTTTATTCTATTCTGTGTGATTTTTTAAATTCGAAAAATTTAAATGGCTGCGTACCTCTGGTGGTGGTATCGTGTGTTGCTCGATGATGCAAAATTTTTTTAACAGGCTACAGATTTCTTAACCGAATGTTTCTTTCTTTAACAGAAAAATACTTGGAAATATATATATATAAATTCTAAAGAAAACTATATCCTGATAGCAAAATGTTAGCAATTTGGGGTCAAATTAGCAGCAAACTTCATCAGATTTTGACTGATGATAAAATCATAGCCATCTGTGTCCGCACTTGACTATGGATTTGTCGACAAAGCCCGTTGATAAGCTATGCCAGCAGATTGGTAGCAGAAACCGAGCAGAGTCTGCTCGAATCAGGTTCTGTTCTCAATCTGCTATCAGGTTATGTAAGACTTTGCTCAGTTTCTGCTACCAATCTGCTTAAATTTAGAAATATAAAAGCCTACTAGGCATAACATGTCTAGTAGGCTTTTATATTTCTGACAGCAATTTGCTGACAATGTTAGATAATACAAATTCTATGTACAATTTGATGCCTTTCTGCAATTAAAACTTGGTAGCAGGTTCTGTTCAAAATCTGTCTCCGCAGGTTTTGCTATCAGGGTAAGTGCCGATTTTGAAGTTTCTTTGTGCAAAAATATTTAAATAGAGTGATAAATTAGCACATTTCCATTAAATATTTTTTTATCTGGTTACAAGTTACTTTAACAATCTCACTGTTAATAAATACTATTCCATCATAAAGAAGAAATAATTAAATCAAGTCAAATTTCTAACAGCAGTTTGCTGATATCATTAGATATTACAGATTTTGAGAAATTTCTTATCTTTCTGCCATAAAAAAAATTTATAACAAAATCTGTTTCTGCAGGTTTGATTATCTGGGCCGACATCTATTTTCCTGATGAAAATGTATGGGAAACAAAAATGGGTTTTAATATGAATTATTATCATCATAATCAATCATTACCAATATTGACACTCAAGACCCTACCATGTTACATTGGTAAATATAATTTATGTACTAATACTATGTAGACGTGAAAAAATTTTAAATTTACCTTGACATGTTTTGTAGATATTAATAATCCAGATGAAATGATTTTAAGGACTATCACAGAGACGTGCAACGTGGAAAGATGTGATCATGTACAGACGATTAAACGTCTCGTATTCGAAAATGAAAATGATTCAAATCGCACATACGTATTGCATACAAAATGTGATGCGTATCTCTCTATTTTAATATTCCCGACATGCATGCGTGTACTAGTGTGTATGGATTCGAACACATCTATAAAAATAAACACGTTGCACTTGCATAATATTCCTATACGAAATCCAAATAAATTCCGTTCCTTGCTTTTTTCTCATTCACCCAGAAAATTTTTTGATTTAATTCATCCAGCTCACTTACACACGACGAACTTGAATTATATTTAATGTATGTATATTTTCATCATTGATTAAATATTTAGTGATTCAATACATTTGAAAGAGAGGGAGGGGGAGGAGAGAGAGACCCCTATATAAACAGTAGAATATGAAACAAATGTTTGAAATATTAGGCCTATTCTTTTTGGCTGAGCTTTTGCACTAGTTCATCTTTCTTCCTCTTCTTTCCTCCTGAAGAGAAAAGGAAGAAAGATGAACTGATGCAAAGTTCAACCAAAAGTAACAGGCCTATTGCAAAGAAATGGATAGTATGTCTACATGTTTCAGAAATGTGTTAACTATTTTTATTTGCTATATATATATATATATATATATACGCTTTTGATACATGCGCGATGTTCTCTACCGATTGTCATATTATTCAAATCATTATGAAATGCCGAATGATAATTGTATAAGCTTTGTATTACTATTGTGAGAGCGACTTGCGTCCATTTTTAAGTTGGTAGAGCCGTATTGTACCGTTGGTGACGCATGATGGCGTATGCGATTGGCGACACTGGGTGCTAAGCGGGCTGCGGACGGCTGTGTGAGGATAGAGTCGGTTACTGGACGCGAATCGGGATGTATGTACACGGACAGAATCTGTCGAGCAATAAAGATTAATAAGTGTACGATCTTAGTATTGTTCCTCTCTATCCAATATTCCCGAATATACCGCTCATCCTGATATACAAGATTACGAGAACACCTTATTGGCTTTCCTATAATAAGTTTCCCTCGCTCATTCCCGCCATTTTGCGATCAAGATTCCATTGGTTTCCTTGATATCTTAGCAGGTCTTTCTTACCCAGTACTTCCCTAACAAGGAAGTTTCTATTATATAATGCTTTTTATATGTAATTTTTACGTTTTTCAAATATACAAACATTTTTTGATATGACTTCTTGATTTCATAAAGAGTTTAAATTGAGTCTTTTAAGAAAAACAGTATGGCTTCTCTCTCTCTCTCTCTCTCTCTCTCTCTCTTTCTCTCCTTTCTGTTTTATTATATAGTTGCAATTTTTATGGAAACAGTCCATTAATTCAATCTCTGCTTTGGAGAACTAATCTTTGTTTTCAGAAAAAAGGTTATTGTTAATATTTGGAAGACTTTGTCTATTGATGCAGTATCGCTATAACCCCTTTTACACCGTTAAATCGATTAATACACATATCAAATTGATGCGGATTAAATATTTGATACGTCCTTATTTATACCGATCTGCTTCAGAACGAGTCAGGTTAGGTGACATGATGTTTTCACTGCTTTTCAAGCGTAAAACTTCTAATTCTAACTTTAACCTGAACTTAAAAGCAATGGCGAATTTTAATATACGATCCAAAACGAACCAAGCGTTTACAGAACGCTGAGATTGTTGAAATAAACTTTTAATAAAAGAATTTTACCTTTGTATAAAGAATTGGTCAAGTTTATTTAAATCTTGTTTTATAAATTAGAATTTAATCAGAACGATACTTCAAGTTGATAAGAAGAAAAAAGCAAGAGTACAATCGGAATATACGACTCGACGTTACAATATCAAATATAGAAATAGTCTTGAAGTACAATGATAAATCAATTATCTTGAAGTACAATGATAAAACTAATAGAGAGAGTAGTAGAGGAATGTCTTACAATGAGTATGTATTATTCTAAACTTATCTGAACGAACAGAATTATCGCTATTGCAAGGCCTTACGATCTCTCTAACCGCTTGGTACCAAGGTTCGCCAGAAAAAGGGACGAGCGAGCGACAGCGATGTTCAAACTTCTCTAAAACAAACTAAGAAAGCAATTCAATGCAATCTCTGGCAATCAGTTTGGTGAAATAAAATTCTTATTTCAACGGAGATTCTTTGATACCATTTGATACGCGTATGAGCTTGGTCTGATACTTGTGATTCAGAACATGGGCCTAGTTTACACCGAGCACTTGATACGCGTATTAAGTACCATATCCGCACCAAATCACTTGATACGCTTGAGATAAACGCGCTGGCGGATTATTTTGATCTGATACTTCTGAATCACACGAAAGAGAGAGGAATACGTTGTGTCTCTTTCTAACCTTGATAGTTTCTCGTGAGTCGTGATACATCTTTCTGCTCTTGAACCTATAGCGTTTTCGACCAGGGTCCCTATTCTTGAAAAATATCGCATACGTAAAACTAGGGAAATGCTATAGTATGCGTCACATATATTATAGCATTTCCCTAGTTTTTCGTATGCGATACTTTTCAAGAATAGGGGCCCTGGCCGGGTTTGCACCAACCTGGGTTGGATTAATAGCGTTTTGTGCTCTCCTATTGGTAGAGCGTGTAACGTCAACCAATAGGTTGATCCAACCCAGGTTGGTGCAAACCCGATCGGGCCGAAAACGCTACTAGAGTCAAGTTTTGGAACGCACCCCAGCGAAGGGATATGGGGCCCCTATTCTTGAAAAGAAACGTATACGAAAGTCTAGAGAAATACCACAGTATATGTTACGTACTATTTTCCCAATTTTTCCCAAGGATATGGGGCTTTATTCTTGAAAAGTATCGCATACGACAAACTAGGGAAATACTATAGTGCACGTAACATGTGCTATAGTATTTCCCTAGTTTTACGTATGCGATATTTTTCAAGAATAGAGCCCATGGTCTGTGATGTAAAAAAATATTTTTTACGCGGTTACGCGGAGCAGTTCTCGACGCATGCGTATAAAGCTGGTTCTACATTAGTTGCATCGCGGCGTCGCAAGCGTTGCGGTCCAATAAACGTCAAGCTAGCTCGACTCTGATTGGACTGCAACGCTTGCGACACGCTTGCGACGCTGCGATGCGATCAATGTAGAACCAGCTTAATGCAACATCAAAATTGGAGGTCACTTTTTCAAATGAGTTAGCAGTCTAGTAGTATATATGAAAGTCTGTGGTATGCACACGCGTAAAAAGATGTTCGTTTATAGTTGATAATTGTTCGAATAACGCTAAACATGATGGATTATGAATTTAAAATGAAGACGCAAAAAGACCGCACGAAGGTCGAGGATCTGTTCGAGTTTGAGGGTTGCAAGGTGGGAAGAGGTACATACGGGCACGTATATAAAGCTCGTAGGAAAGAAGGGTTAGTTTCCTTAACTTTCTGATTATTTTGCGAAACTTCCTTGATTTCTCATATGCTTAGATTATTTTACATTTAACAGTATAAGACGGGGAGCGCAGACTCTTGCATAACGTATGGCACGTAATGCATAAGATTCTTCTGCTTCCTCAGATTGATCTCAGATAAAAAAAAACATCAATTCATTTTCCTAAAGAGCTCTGAATTTATATTGGGGTCATATTTCTTTCCATATAAAAGCATACGCTGTGTCTCATTCTATCAATCATCTTCTATTCAAGATTTCTTGAATATGAGAAAGTGTATTTAGTCGCTATTGACATTTGCATTTAGCATTTGATGTGATTATCTAATTCTTGATTTAGCTTGTCCCATTTGTCTAATACACACATTTTTAATACAATCGCTAATTTTTAATTAAAATGTTATGCTGATTCTACAATGGGTGCTTTCCATTTAGTGACACAAGTTGACACAAGCATCATTCCATCTTTCTTTACATTTAGTAAGTAATAAAGAATAGAACGATGCTTGTGTTGACTTGCGTTATCAAATGGAAAGTACCTAGCGAGTCGGTAGTCCTAAGTCTTATTGATGAAGTTAATCAATAGCCTACTTGTACGACTAATGCTGATTGACCAACTTCACTGATTAAGACTAAGACTTCCGACTACAGATTCATTGTAGAATCAGCATTAACTGTATAATGAATCAATAGTCTGTAGTTGATGAGTCAGAAGTCTAAAGGATAATTGGTGAGTAAGGTTTGATCAGCAGCTACTTCTAAGAGGCTTTCTACAATAAGCCATTAGTAAAAAATCAGAAATCAGAAGATAGAAATTGAACAATCACTTGGATTTATTAATTATGACTTGTTGTAGTAGCCTACAAGACTACTGATTACCGACTTATGTAGATCCGGACTTACATTAAGATTTAAATGAATAATGTAACCATTTAGACTCATATTATTTTGACATATCTGTATTTTTTTTTTTTAAACAATATCTCGGTAACTCTTCAGATTAGAGGATCCCCTCCCCAATGATCTTGGCCTTGACATACCTTAAGAACTTTTTAACAAATAAGGACCAACGGCTAAAACTTGTTGGAGGTCACTCGGGGTCATGACCTTGACAACATATCAAGGTCAAGGTCATTGGGGAGTCCCCTAATCTGAAGATTTACTATTATCTCTTTACATATTTGTGTATATCAATTAAATATCAACCAAATTAAAATATCTATTGGTTAAATCGTACTATGATTTATTTCTGAGAAATATCCTATTCTCTGTAAATTTAATATTGATATGTTGGAAATAGTGTTTCAGATAGTGAACTAAAGTCTCGGCCTGATACAAAAGATTTTGGCCTCAAGCAAATTGAAGGTACAGGACTTTCGATGTCTGCATGTCGAGAAATTGCTGTGAGTTATCTCGTTATTTTTAAATGATGCAATGGAGATATTTTACTTATTTTCTTCTATTCTAGTTACTCAGGGAACTGAAGCATGTCAATGTCATTACTCTTATTCGTGTTTTTCTCTCACATAATGATCGTAAAGTTTGGTTGTTATTTGACTTTGCTGAGCATGATTTATGGGTATGTGTTTATAATTTTAATTTGAAAATAAGATATTTTTAGGCATTACAACAAATATTTTATAGTAATATTTAAATATGTATTTGCAGCATATAATTAAATTTCACAGAGCAGCAAAAGCAAATAAAAAACCAGTAATGGTACCCAAAGGCATGGTTAAATCCTTATTGTATCAAATTTTAGACGGTATTCATTATTTGCATTCCAATTGGGTACTTCATAGAGATTTGGTAATTATTATTAACATTATTAAACGTTCTCGTTTTTTTATTTTTATCACATTTGCAAATTTTGTAATAAAATACTAATTTCCTTTATTTTAGAAACCAGCAAATATCTTAGTCATGGGTGAAGGAAATGAGCGGGGACGTGTAAAAATTGCCGATATGGGCTTTGCTAGATTATTTAACGCTCCTCTTAAACCTTTAGCAGATTTAGATCCCGTTGTAGTTACATTTTGGTATAGAGCTCCAGAATTACTTTTAGGAGCTAGACATTACACAAAAGCTATAGGTCTGTCTATATCTATATTGTATATTTTTATAATTAGTATAAAATTATACTGAATATTTTATTCTATCACTGCAGACATATGGGCTATCGGCTGCATATTTGCAGAACTTTTAACATCCGAACCTATATTTCATTGTAGACAAGAAGACATTAAGACGAGCAATCCATATCATCATGATCAACTAGATAGGTGAAAATATAATTTGTATTTATTTTGTATAATCTGAAGAATGACATAAGTTAATCTTTATTTAGGATATTCAATGTGATGGGATTTCCATTGGAGAAAGATTGGGAGGATATAAAAAAAATGCCAGAGCATCCTACATTGCTCAGAGATTTTAAGAGATCCAAGTGAGTTTGTTAGTTCAATACATAATTCCATCAATGTTTTATTCGAAATTTTTTAATATTGATTCTTTTTTATTTTTAGTTATGCAAATTGTTCACTTACTAAATATATGGACCGGCATAAGATCAAACCCGATAGCAAGGCATTTAATTTGGTATGTCATAAAATAATTATACAAATTTTGTAGTATGCCATCTTATCATATTATTGTTTAGTTACAGAAACTATTAATGATGGATCCAAACAAGCGTATTACGTCAGAACATTCAATGCAGGATGCCTACTTTCAGGAGGAACCACTGCCAACACAGGAGTATGAATTTATTTCTATATTTTTACATTATGATAATTTTTTGTAATAATCTTAATTGCATTTAACATAAAAATTTTAGCATATTTGCTGGGTGCCCTATCCCTTATCCTAAAAGAGAATTTCTTACGGATGACGATACTGAAGAAAAGACTGAAAACAAAGCGAGGCAAAATCAGCAACAAACGGTAATTACTTCCGAAATATATTAAGAACATTTATATGATATACTTTATATGGTTTAAGCCGCAACTACTATAATAAAATAATCGCAACTACTTTAATACAGACATAGTTTGTAATATCCAAATAAGTATCTATTTATAATTATGTATCTTCTACATTTTTAAAAAATATGGTTTCGATTGTTCAAACGACTCCATATGACCGCCGCAGTGGCAAAGCGAGTAAAGCCCACTTTGCCGCTGTCTAAGCTCCGTCACTATATGGTAGTTGAGGATTGAACTGATTTTTTGAACATCGCCTTGTCGCTCATCCGAGTATTCATGAAACAGCAACAGCAGACCCAACAGCAGCAAGGTAACGGCGATCATAATCATGGACAGAACGCGAAACGGGTGAGACTGAACGGGCCGCATGGTGCTCCTGAGTTCCATCAGCATCAGAGCCACGCGATGACCCACCAACAACCAGGGATGGTTTATTCGACGGCTCAACCAACACAACCATCGAACTTCCATCAACGTTTCTAATTTTGTAACTCGTAATTACATTGATCAGACAGAATTAGGCAAAAACTTAAACTATCACTAATGCATTAATTTAATTCACTAATTCTGTCAACAAGAAGTCACAATTAATCCATGTATATTCGTGCGCGCATGCGTACGTACATGCGTATGTGTGGAAAGGAAACAGTGCTCATGCACTCGTAACATTTTTTTGTCCCATATCCGCTTTTACTTCCGTTGCCAACTGTCCTCTGTTTTACATCAATAGTTTGGTTTCTGAAGACCGAAGTCTTCAATTCAGTTTCGCTTCGGTGCAGGGTATGTATTATGGAATTATTTAAAATGGATTCCGATCGGAATTATTCAATTATTACTTAGATTTTTATTGTGTATTTTAGGGAAATTCCAATCGAAATCCATTCCGACTTGTATCATGATAAACTTCCAGTATGCTGTTTTCATTAGAAGTAGTGACCTTGTGGATCTAAGCGGGAGTGAAATAAGCGCAATC